TTTCGGTTAGTAGCCTAGTGCTTAACCACTGCACCATTGGGACTCCTTAGTCAAATCATAAACTCAAAACCTCTTTGTCATCCAGTCAAATCCTATAGGACAGGGTAGAACTGCCTCCTAGGGTTGTCAAGGCTGTATGTAATCTTTAGAGAAGCAGACTGCCATATCTTCTCCCATGGAGCAGCTGGTGAGTTTGAACCATAAGTGAGCACCCTAACCACTGTGCCACCAGGGCTCCTTAATCAAATCATAGGGGCCTTTAAATGGTATTCTAAGGAACTTTTTTTTTATTGTTTAAGCTTACGGAGTAAATTCACTTTCCATACAGCAGTTCACATACACTTTGTCTCACTACATTTAGACAATTTACCACCATGCAACAGCTCCCCTCTCACTTCCTCCCCATAGTTATAAAATGGTATTCTAAGGAATTTGTCCTTTATCAACATGCAGTGGGAAGCCCTCGAAGGTTTTTAGAGCAGATCATTAGATGATCAAAACTTATGCTTTGAGAAGAGTACTCTAACAGCAAATGTGTAGGAGGAAGTAAGGGCAGAGGGTTAGACTGAAAGAAGAGAAAGCAGTGGGGGATGTTGCAAGTCCAGGCCAGAGGTAGTGAGGGCCTGAAGTGAGATAGGGACAGTAAGAATGGAGAAATGGTTTAAATTCCAGAGATGTTTAGGTATTGATTGGATGTTGGAGGAAAGGTTGAGCTTAAACTGTTTGCAGGCTTAGAATGATTGAGTGGTCAAAAAGATGAAGATGTCATTTTCCAGGAGGAGTAGATTTCTGAGGAAAGATACAGGTAGGGTTTCCTATTGGTCACTTTGAGTTTGAGGGGCTGGCATCCTGTTCAGGTGGAGATAATTGGTTGAACTGCTTGATTGAGACCATGTTTCTAGTGACTGAAGGAGCAGAATTGTACTGTTAAGCTCAGCTGGGATCACTTAAATGGGACTCAGTAACTTGGGAATGGAGAACTACATCTTGTGTGTGCCTTATCATTCCAAGGGAGGTTGCACTTCACACTGTTGATTCTTTATTTGCTTTAGAAACACTCCAAGTAGACCTGGCTATCCCATAGGATCTGATTTAATGTGGTTTACTATTCCTTGTAGGCATAGCCTGAATTGATCTAGCATTCTGGAAAAGAAGCTCTGGTAGTGCTGTGGTTAAGGCATTGGACTGTTAACCAAAAGGTAGGCGGTTCAAACCCACCAGCTGCTCACAAGAGGAAGATGAGGCAGTCTACCTCCATAAAGATTTACAGCCTTGAAAACCAGATGGGGGTCACTATGAGCTGCGATCAACTTGATGACAGTGGGTTTGGTTTTGGTTTTTAGTACCCTGCGACAGAATTCAAATAGAAGCAGTGTTGTATTCACTAAATGTTTTAAACTAATGGATATATAATGAGTTTTTAATTCAGAAATACCACCCATAATCATATGACATCTGTT